TTGTAGAGATGAGGTCTCGCTAAGTTGCCCAGGCGGGTCTCGAACCCACGGGCTCAGGCAGTCCACTCACCTCAGCCTCCCAAAGCGCGAGATTACAGGCTAAGCCACTGAGCCCGGCTTGTAAATTTTTTTTGAAAGTTAAAGAAAAAAAAATCATCCCAGCCCTCCAGTCCAGAGTAAATCATTGTCAGCATATTCACATCATTCCGTACGTTATCTCAATGTATAAACCACGTATTTAGGTAGACAGACTTCAAACCAGGAAGTCTCTAGCCTAGTAATTTCATGAATAATGTGCATCCTTTTCCTGTCACAGAAGGCTGTATATTGCATTGACATATGATTTATTCAAATCTTTTACTGACATTTCCCTCTTTTTGAATTCAGGATATTCTTGTGCACAATCTCACTTTTGTTATAATCTCCAAAGCAGAATTTCTAATACTAGGACTACCAGGTCAAAGGGTACTTGGTGTTCACCTACACCAGGAGGTGTTGAGCACAGAGTGCTGTATAAATGGTAATCCATCTAAATAGTTACATTTAATATACGCAATCAAAACTCAACGGATTTCTACCCCCCCGCCCTCCAATTTCATGCGGAGGAATTTGACAAAATTAATGTGATTGAAATCTGTTGAAGTTCCTTCTAAAGACATCTGGATGCATGAAGGACTACACATAGAAAAGCAATCTGAACTTAGCCTGAATAGAAATAATGAGAAGAAACCAATTATGAACAATTCAAGTTTACTAAAAAACTTTTTGTCATCAGTAACTACCTTTTACACTTCCAGAGTTAAACTCCAATAAATTCAGGTCCCAAAAGTATGTAAATTGCAGTGTTGCATTATTAATTTAAAAAAACAGTATTTTTCAGTCTATAAAGTACAAACTAATGATACTAAAATTTACACTGTACACAACTGATAATAGTCTATACAAAGAACTGAGACTGGATAAAAGATGGAATCCACTGACAAATCTTTTGTCCAAATTCGTATTACTTTGGATGGTAGTATTACATGATTTTCTGTACTTTAATACTTCCTGAACTTAATGTTATTAAGGCTACTTGGAGGATTCCTTTTGGTTATAAATTAATATGTATTTAGGGCAGGAAACTGACCACAATTTTCAAATATCTGTCCTAGTGATAAGGATTTTCTCCACTTTCTTCACTAATTGCTGGGCCCTATTATGAGCCAAGCACAGTTCTACATGGTAGAGATAGTGGTTTAAAAAAAAAAAAATCTCCCTACATGGAGGTTACATTTCAGTTGACATCAATTTTGTGTGTCAATCATTATATTTTTCTTAAAGTAAGGCCTCTTCCTGGGTAGACTCTAATGAATAAGATTCTTCTGCTGTGTTGTGTCTTGAGAACTGTGACACTTTGGAACTTCGACATAAACTCTGATCATATTTATAGAAAAAATACTTTTTCTCATCTGTGAAATCTGATGTCCCAACTGAGTCTTCAATAAAAACACAGCATTTTAGAGAGCTTCTTTCCAGGGAAGATACTTTGAAGCTTCTGAGTTCTGAGGGAACATTTCCACAGTCATCAGCACAGACTTCCCAATGGAGACGAAGACGTAAACCCTAACTGAAAGCTATGCCACACATCACATTTCTACAGATTCCCTCCAGTGTGGACCCTCTGATGGTAGACGAGATGTGATCTCTGACTGAAGCCCTTACAACAGACATCACATATGTAAGGCCTCTCTCCAGTGTGAACTCTCTGGTGTGTGTGAAAATGTGAGGCCTGACTGAAGCCCTTCCCACACTGCTGACATGTATAGGGTTTCTCCCCTGTGTGGACCCTCTGATGAGCACTGAGACCAGCACTCCAACTGAATTCTTTCCCACACTCCTCACATTTAAATGGTTTCTCTCCAGTGTGAATTATCTGATGGACTTGAAGATTTGACCTCTGGCTAAAGGCTTTACCACACGTGTCACATTTATATGGTTTCTCTCCGGTGTGGACTCTCTGATGGGCTTGAAGATGTGAGGCCTGACTGAACCGCTTCTGACATGCATCACATTTGAATGGCTTTTCCCCAGTGTGGACACTCTGATGGGCTTGAAGATTTGAGGCCTGACTGAAACCTTTACCACATTCCTCACACTTATAAGGCTTCTCTCCTGTGTGAACTCTCTGATGATTGTGAAGATTCAAGCTCCAATTGAAGCGCTTTCCACACACTTCACATTTGTATGGTTTTTCTCCAGTGTGGACTCTCTGATGGGCTTGAAAATATGAACTCTGACTGAAGCCTTTACCACACACATTGCATCGAAATGGTTTCTCTCCTGTGTGAACCCTCTGATGGCTCTGGAAACTCGAGGCTGAACTAAAACCCTTCCCACACTCTTCACATTTATATGGTTTCTCTCCTGTGTGGACTCGTTGGTGACTATGAAGATTAAAACTCAAACTAAAGCACTTACCACACTCATCACATTTGTATGGCTTTTCCTCAGTGTGGACTCTCTGGTGGGTATGAAGATTTGAGCTACAACTAAACCGTTTACCACAATCTCCGCATTTATATGGTTTCTCTCCAGTGTGGATTCTCTCGTGGGCCTGAAGATGTGACCTCTGCGTGAAGCCCTTTCCACACACCTCACATTTATAAGGCTTCTCTCCAGTATGAACTCTGCAGTGAATGTTCAGATCGGTGCTACGACTGAAGCCCTTCCCACAAATGTCACATCTGTAGGGCTTCTCTCCCGTGTGAATAGGCAAATGAGCATAAAGATGGGAGCTCTGATTAAAGCTCTTACCACACTCGTGGCATGTATAGGGTTTCTCGCCTGTGTGGACTCTCTGATGAGTTTGCAGGTTGGAGCTCTGGCTGAAACCCTTACCGCATTCATGACACCAATAGCGTTTTTTCCCTGTGCGAACACTCTGTTGAACAGGAATACCTGGCCTATAACTGGTGTCCTCGTGTGCACTGCATGTAGGGGACTTCTTTCCCAAGTGTACCTGGCGATGAAGTTCAAGACTGGAGCTACCACTGAAGGCTTTTTCACATTCACTTCCTTGGTAGGTGTTCTGTCCTGTGTGGATACTGCGCTGGGTAAGAGGTGAAATCGTGAGGATGTCTTTGCCGCAATCACTGCTGCTATGAGTCTGATCTCTTTTGTGCACTACATTATCCTTATGGTGGTGTGAAATGCAACCGAAAATGTCAACACATGGAGCAAATATACATAATTTGGTTTTCATCTGAGTCTGCTTACAACTTCTTTGATAATTCTCAGTCTCATTCGAATATATTTTACTCCAAGAATTCTGAACTCTCTCAGTTGGTAATTCTTGATTTTCAATGATATTAGAATGATCCCCTATCAGATTCCTCAGACAGCTGTCATCTACAGAAGCCTGAATAGATTCTCCTGCTCCCACTTGACAGGGGGAATCATGTTGCTTGGGGCACTGAGAACTCTTTCCTTCAATATCTATCAGGGAGTCTTGATGTCTGGTTAATTTGCTTACAACGTGTCTCCTGATTTGCCAGCATGAAAGCTCTTCCAGTGAAAGGCACTTTAATCCTGCTTGGTGAAGAACCTCCATCTCATTTTGATGACTGTCTCCTGAAAGCACAGAGAGAATAAGGAATTAAGGTCTGAGAGACTGACATCAGCAAGGTTGCGAACTTTAGGTAGCTTTAAGCCTTTGCTTCCTCACAGAAACATTAAAAAATGACAGACTAGCTAAAATGAATTTATAGGGGCTCTGAAAATCAGTCACAACCAGGAGAAGGTTGAAAAAAAAAACCATATTTAAAATGGTAGATACTTCTTACAGTAAAAAGCTCAGAAAAAAATTTTTCAGAAAAAGAAAATAAAATGGTAGCAAATTTGGGATCAGCTCAGGGTAAGGGCTTAAGGTCTTTTCATGTCTTTTCTGAGCATGTGTCTTGCTGGGCCTGTATGTGCTTTTTTTTTTAATCCACCCATTCTCTAGTACACACAGCTACTTTCAATGTTTTGTGTTTTTATTTGCAGCATGGCATGATCTGAAAGAAGCAGCAGCTCAGCTCTCAGTTCCCTCCACCAGGACAGCAGAGCAGACCTTATGTGCAGTGTCCTGTCTGTGGCCTGCATGAGGTGCTGGTTTCTGTCTTGTATGACTCAAGGCAAGGATGAAGAAAACAACAGAAGGCATAAGTGGGCACTGCTTGAGAAAGCTACAAGGATACCACAGACCTGCAGAGGCCCAGGAAAAGGGATTACAGGCACAGAATGAGAACAACACACAAGGCTCCGAGAAGCCAGAGTGAGACTCTTTGAGAATTTAAGACCTTTAAAAGCACCTGTGTATACGAGATAACTGGAACACTCACATGTGCACGCCCGCACACACAGGCTCAGGCAAGATACATGTTAGGAAAAGACCTGAGATGACCTAAGCCTTCATCCCAGCACATCACATGGCTCAAAACATGCTCTGCTAATTAGTGATGGTCTTCCTCGGAAAGGAGTCAATCTACAAAGACTGAGAGAGGTGACTGTTTTTTCCCAAATGCCTAATTTTCAACAAAAGATCAGAAGGCAAACAAAGAATCCATTCAAAGAAACAAAATCTCCAGAAACAAATACTAAAGAGGCACAGGCCTCTCTGAGTAACTTGACAAAGATTCCAAAACAACTATTTTAAACACGTGCCATTAGCTACAGGAGAATCCTGACAGACCACTAAATCATGAAAATGATTCATGAACAAAATGAGAACATCAACAAAGACAGAAACCATAAAGTACCAAATTCCGAAGCTAAAAAATTCAGTAAGAGGATTGAAAATTAGAAGACACAGAAGAATCAGCAAACTTGAAGACAGGTCACTTAAAATTATCGAGACTGGGAGCAAAAAAAAAAAAAAAGAAAAGTGAACACAGTTTAAGAGACTGATGGGTAATCATCAAGCAAATGGATGCATGCATAGGGGAAGTCTCAGGAGAGGAGAGAAAGAGGGAGAGAGCTAATATAAAGACATGGTGGCTGAAATTCTCAGAATTTGAGGAAAGAAAGTCAATTTGTCACATATAAGAGATCCTCAATAAGATTATCAGTGGATTTTCCTGGCAGAAACCTTGCAGGCCAGAAGGCAGTGGGATGATAAAGTGCTAAAAGAAAAAAATAAATCCAAATTACCTGTGAATTGAGTATATGATATCTAGCAAAACTGTGCTTCACAAATGTGGGTGAAATTGAGACATTTCCAAATAAACAAAAAATGAGAGACATGTCCTACAATAAATGCTAAAGGAAGTTCTTCAAGTTGAAATGAAAGGACCCCAGACAGTAACCTGAAGCCATAGGAAAATATAAAGTTCTCCACTAAAGGTAAATCTACAGACAAATATAAAGACCTATATTACTAAAATCTTGGTTCCTAATTTCACTTTCAATCCTGTTATAGAATATTTAAGACAAAAGCACATAAAATAATTATGAATCTATGTTAATGAGTATATGATACATAAATATAATTTGTAACATCAACAACATAAAGGGGGCAGAGCTATAAAAGATAAGGGTTTTTGTATGCAACTTATCAGTTAAAAATAGACTGTTAAAAGGTTAGTATGTCTTAATAACCTTAGTACATGTCTTATGTAATCCCTATGGTAATCACAAAAAAAAAAGCTACAGTAAGTATGTAAAATGAAATGAGAAGAAAATCAAAACATATACTTCAAAAAACCAACTAAACACAAAAGGAAAACATTAAGGGAGGAAATGAGAGACAAGAGAGAGCATAAGGACATATAGAAAATAATTAACAAAAATGGTCAGAGTAAATTCTGCCTTGTAAGTAATTACTTTAAATGCTATTGGATTAAACTCCCCAATAACATGACATAAATTGGCAGGACAGATTTCAAAAAAACCCCCACAAAAACCAGCAGCCCAGCACGTGACACCACCCAGGACCCCTAGAAGTGGCATCTTATCCCTTGCCACTCCCAAGCCTCACTAATACCCACAGACAGGTTATCAGCACAACTCCCAAGCAGCTAGGTGAGAGGTTTAATCAGGACGAGAAAAGGGCAGCAAGCAGTCTTATAGCTGGATCCCCTAGGAAAAGAAGTTCTAAAGCAGAAAGAAGAGGGTATTTCAATTTAGGACACATATTTGCAGCTGGAAACGGAGAATGGACTAAATCAGATCTCCGTCCTGCCAGCCTGCCTTCGTCTCAGTCCTTCCACATTGTCATTCTGGGTCTGGACTATGCTAGAAAGACAACTGTCTAATACAAACTGTATGCAGTTCAATGAGTTTGTAAATACCATACCCACCAAAGGACATACACTGAGATAACTAAGATACCTTGGGAAATTCTAAAATAGTCAGTTTTACTTCTGGGATGCAGGAAAAACTGAGGCCACCGTGGAAGTCATACACGAGACGCACAGATGGCATTGTGTTTGCTATTTCGACTCTGTTGATGTTGAAAGATGGAAGAAGCCAAAACTGAACTTTATAAACTAGGATATTAGAAAATCAAGGAGTTCCTGTACTTATAGTTACAAACGAACTAGACTTGAGGAACTCATTGTCTCTCTCAGACACTGAGAAATTGTTAGCAACGGGCGAACTGGGCTCTTCAAGTCCTTGGCATGGGGAGCCTACAGGACAATCACAGGAGATGGACCAAAGGAAGGACAATACTAAAACAAGTTGTGGCAACAGAAAAAGAGATGATTATTGATACCTTTCATGTGTGTGTGCAGATTTTTCTGTTTTGATTTTTGACAAATGGAAGAGTGAAGAGTGTGTACGTCTGGTTTGCCCGTCCGTCCTCCTGGATGCTATTAAAGCTTTGTTCTGTTAAACAATCAAATGCCTAACTCTGCTGATTTGTGGAAGATGCGTAAATGCTGCAGTTCGGAAAGTGATCTCTTCTCACCCCACAAATCTTTTGGTGCCACCATTTTGGAAAGACAAGCAAGGATAGTAAATTGACCAGGACATAGATGTGGAAATTTAACCTGAAGTTAGTGGAAAAAAACTCTGAAGGATGTTCACCTAGTGTATCTTTTGGGAGGAAGCCTTTGCAGGAAAATTGCGTACAAGACTGTTACAATAAAATGCAAATGAATGGAAATGTTAAGGTAGATAAATACATATACGGTTATATTGATTACCTGTGCTTTTTTGATGTAAAGGACAGGAAGTGTTTGTTTTTCAAAGTTTTGGCCAAATGATTTCTAATATTTTCTGGAATGAAATAATAATTAAATATCTTAATTCTAGACAATGGTTAATTAAGTTGGTCTGCCTTTAATAAAAGTAAGTTATCCTCCCCCCCCCCTTTTTTGAGTTGGAGTCTCACTCTGTCACCCAAGCTGGAGTGCAGTGGCAAGCTCATGGCCACTGAAGCCTCGACCTATTGGGCTCAGGTGATCCTTCTGCCTCAGCCTTCTAAGTAGATGGAACGACAGGTGTGTACCACTGCACCTGGCTAATTTTTTGATTTATTGTACAGACAAGGTCTCAGGCTGATCTCAAACCCGTGGACTCAGGCAATTCTCTCACCTTGGCCTCCCAAAGTGCTGGGATTATAGGTGTGAGCCACTGCACCTAGCCGAAAGTAAGATATCCTTTAATAAAAGTAAGATATTTAAGATATTTGGGGTATATTCAAGTACATGGATGAATTAGTTTTCCCAACAAAGTATGTTTTGGTGTGTAGTCTTGCTTTTTAGAAAGAACTAAACATTTTCTAAAGAGGTTTAAAACAAGTTTTTTTGGTTTTTTTTTTTAAGAATTTAAGGCTATTACACAAATGGTTTGTTGCCAGAAGCACTTTCATTTGAAGAACCTAAACTTGACACTCTTAGTAAATATGGCAGGTAGACTCACAATAAATATACAGTGGATACATACATGGATTTATACAAATTGATTTAGTCAAGAGGATGTAATTATAATATGTGGTCTATAAAATATTCGTTTTATTTGTTCTGTTAATATTTGCTGGTTGAAAGCGTGGTTTCTTATATATTTCTGTGGTGTGTTGAGAGAAGCAAAAGCTTATAACAAACACCTGATGTGCTATGGAATGAAAATGTAAGAGAAACCCTATGTGTGTTCTGAGGCTTAATTTTTCTATTTACAAACTGAACAGTGTTACATGGGTTGTCCAGTCCTGACTACAAAGAGGAAGAAATGATAATAGTACTGCTGTTATAAGAATTACAATCACAGAAAGTGAAAGGAAAAGTAGCAAAGTTGCGGACTGGTGCTGTTCACATTGGAATAAAATAAAACTTTAAATCATCAGGAGGAAAGATCTTTAAATCTTATCTACAGAGACTTACCTCTAGTGATCTTATATTATCAAATCAGCTTATTTTCTATGTGTAAAGCCAGGACTGTTGGTTCTGAGAATCACCAAAAGAGATGCAGTTTGCTAGCAGGGTCTGTTTTTTGGTTTTCATTTTATTTTAAAGTCACAACTGAGTTTTTGGAATCTTGATTCTTGCTACACACAAAATGAAGTGGCTTCCTGTGGAGCTTTCATTTCTCAAATGAAAAAATTTTAAAAACTACCTATACTAGTCATGGTTACTTTGAACGTTTATGGA